CTTCCTTTATTTTCAGCGGTTGGGTTTGTAAAATTATTTTGGTCGTGAGTCCAATTTGTGCTTTGGCAGAGGCCGTTCAAAGCGATGGGCGTGATGCTACCCGCCACATTAGGTCTGTTGCTTTTGATTACCTCTGCCCGAGTTGACCTTCTGCTTGCGCTCGATTAGTGTTTGTGGAAGGGAAGGATATGCGATATTTGTGTCTACACACACACAGATGGATAGATAGATAGATAGATAGATAGAGATAGAGAGAGAGAGAGAGAGAGAGAGAGAGAGAGAGAGAGAGAGAGAGAGAGAGAGAGAGAGAGCTTCCACGCTTTATTAGAAGAGAATCAAGAGATTGATGATAATCCCTTCGGGCTACTGTGCTAGTATTTCGTTCATTGGTGTGTTAATGCTTTGGGAATAAACGGTTTAATTAGTGCCAACTTTGCATTAGATCAGGGTTAGGGCTTATTTTCACGTGAAAATTAGGGCTATTGTGAAATGTGCAGTTTTATGGTGTTTTCACAAATTCTAATCTCTTATTACATTGGGGTTGCTGTGCTGGCATCTCGTCGATTTTTTGTTGCTTTGGGGACTAATGGGTTGATTGGTGCTGAGCTTATATTAGACTACGGTTATGGCTCATTTCCATGTGACATTAGAGCTATTGTGAGATAGGTGGTCTTATGGCGTTTTCAGATTTTAGTCGGATTAAGAAATGGGTTGAAGCGGTCTTCTCTTTCAAAAAAAAAAAAAGTTGTTCGGTTTAACTTTTCTGCACAACATTTCCCCCCCCCATATTTTTTTGATTTTTTTCCCTTTTTTTTTTTGGGTGCTGGGGCCTTCTTTGGTACTTGCACAGCCGGGCTGCCCGGGCAAACAAGGTGATCCGGGCGGCCCGACTTGTAGTTTAGGTTAAAAAAAAAAAAGAAGGTATTTAGTATTTACTATGTACTTTGTATAAAGTTATCAACAGCCTCATGGATATGTATTATCCACCAGGGTAAACGGCGTTCGGGATGGGCCAAACACCCGAACCCGAATGCCCAAACGTAGGGGACCCCTTGGGGATGCGTTCGGCCGTTCGTGTTTTTTTTTTTTAATGTTTTTTTTTTTTTTTTTTTTTGTCTTCCAGTTTTCCTGCTAAATTGTTTTTTGGAGCTTCTTTTGATGTAGCTTGCAAGGTTCCAGTCCTTATGAAATTGGTATCCGTAATAAATGGTAAGCATTAATTAATAATAATTTAATAAATCAAATCAGTATTTTTTCCTCTTCAATTGTTGAACGGAATTTTTTTTTGTCGCGGATAATCGCTGACGCAGGCGTGTCGATGTGGTGAATTTTCATTTTTGTTCATTGTTTTTGTTTATTACATCATATTACAAATTATAAAACGTTGCCAACAACCCGGAAGCCTGATGAGCCACAGTCGAACCCCTGGGACATTGCGTGCGGCGAAATTCTTCAAATCCTGACCCACTTCAACAGGCCCATTCAATCAGATGAAAGCTGTAGGAACGAGGCCACAGACGGTGACACAGGACGAGATGAAGGGAGAGGTAGTGGAGTAGATGCAGGAAGAAGATCGAGAGGAGGAGGAGGAGGAGGAGGAAGAGGAAGAGGAAGAGGAGGAGGAGATGGTGGCCAATATGGTAGATGGGAATTTCCAAAGGATAATTTTTATAGCTCATCTGGGGCTGGGGAGAGCACAGGAAAGAGGCGGTCACAATCTTCGGACAAGAATTTGACGGTTTTACCTCTGACGTCATGGCTAACAGACTGCCTGCTAGCAGCACCCTCAAGGATGAGGACCAACTACTTCAGATGGTGAGTGTTACGTTTTTTTTTTTTTTTTTTTCTTCTTCCCTTCTACCTTTCAAAGGCAAACGCGAAGTCGAAGTTGAGCCTCATTCAAAATCTTCGGGGCCTCGGGGCAACTGGACCACAAAGGCTGGCGGCACCAGCCAAAGAAAAACAAAAACGCCGCGCTGGTGCTTCGACAACCATTGGCACGCAGCGCCATTCCACCTCGGCACAAGGAGGCTCGGAGGTAGTGGCGGCTTAAGAGTTATCGTGTGATGTGACTTTTGTTATTCGTCTGAATTTATGAAACCCACACACACGGGCATCGGAAAAGAGAAAAACCAAAAGAAAACAAAAGAAAACGAAAGAAAACAAGACAAAACAAAAGGGAACAACTCATTCAGATGGGTGCTTGCTTGCTTGCTTTGTTTTTCATCAGAATTCTTAACAAAAAAAAATTAAAGAGTGAAACTTTTCATCAGCATTTATCAGGTTGAGTTGGGTTGCTGCATGGTTACCAATCGGACATCCGATTGGTATCCAGACGGCATCCGGAGTTTTTTCCATCCAGACCGTCAGAAAGAATGTCTGGGCATGGATGTCAAAGTCCCGATGCTGTCTGGATAATTCGAAAACAATTTAAATGTTATTAATTTTAGAAAATTCCAACTTTTGGGGGGGGGAAAATCAGAAGGATCTGGGAAAAGGATATGTTATGCAGCATTGCAAATACAAAAAACGTTTTTTTGGGTCCTGTTGAAATCCGTAGGCTAATCCAAGAAGCGAAAAGAAAAACTAAAAAGCGATTTTTATAGTTTTTTTCCTTTTTGTTGGGGGGAAGGAGGGGTGGGGCGGGGGGTGGCAGTGGGAGTTGCTCCTTGTCTGGATCGATCTGGACACGTGCGGATGCCATCCAGACAGTCCCGATCCGTCCAGGGTCCGGGTCTGGGGTAACCAAGGTTTGTTTATTTTTTGAAAATCTGCCCATGCCCCAGGAGGACTTACTTATATTCCTTTTTTTTATGTGCCCATGGATAATGTATTAATATTAATTGAATAATGAATCTTTAATGATTATTCAATTTATCATTTATTTGCTTTCGACGCCTTTTGTCAAATGTGGTGTGATGCAAAGTTCGATTGCCTAACGAAAGATGGGTATGTTACACACGCTGCACACACAACTCGATGAAATTGAATGAATCTGTCCTACTCAGGATGATGTGACATTGATGTCCCTTTTGCTTGCATCCTTTCTTCCTTCCTTCCTTCCTTCCTTCCTTCCTTCTTAGCTCTTCCTTCTTCCTTCTTCTTCCCCGTTCTCCAGTCTTCTTTCACAAAGCTATCAACACTACGCGTCAAATCACTTTCAGTGCTTCACTGATGTAAATTCAAAGGTATTCAAAGGTCATTCAAAGGTAATTCAAAGGTAATTCAAAGATTAAAACAAAATTGAAAAACCGAAATGTGTTCTTCGTTCCTAAGCAAAAACAAAATCAAACTATGTTCGATTCAGAAAAGGTAATTCAAAGGTTACTAATAACTTAATAAGTTAGTAATAAGTTACTAATAACACATTTTGGTTTTTTAATGTTGTCTTAATTTTGAGGGTACAAAATTACAAATGCAAATTTTTAATTTTGGTAATTGTACGCGTACTTCAAAAAAATCAAGACCTAATAATAACACAAGTAAAAACCTGAAGTCTTACAAAAATAGTAAAAAATAATAATAGAATGATAAATAAAATGGAATGAACTGGGCTTCTAGCACGTGTAGCCATAACGCCAGAAACGAAAGCGATGCTGCCACTTCAAGAATGGCGAAACTTATACCATTCTTTGTTTCTTCGTTTCTTCGTTGCTTCGTTTCTTCGTTGCTTCACTCTGGGCTACTTGGATTCTGAGACCATCACTTTGAAGGTTTTTTTTTTTTTTTTTTTTTTTTCCGTTTCTTAAACTGTTTCAAACCGCAAACTGCAAGGAGAGGTCTGGAAAAGGACAAAATAGCATGAACATGTTGATTGTGGTAAGCTGCTTGTTAGTGGGAAATCCATTAAAAAAAAAAAGGTGTATTTTATACTATTTTTACTATTTTATCATGTTATTTCAAATTCCCCCCCCCTTTGTTTGGATTTCTGGGATCATCTTTTTGAAAGTTTTTTTCGTTTTTTCCACTTTTTCCCATGTGTTTTGATACTTCTCCCCACAACCTGAGAGCAGGTGTAACGGAGGCCCAAATTTTCAGACAGTTTGTCATATGCCATGTATAACAAAACCCAAGAGCCATTTGAACCAAACTTGCCGCCAATTCATGGAGTGGAGGCAAGGCAAAAGTGCACTTTCATGCGAATTTCGCCAACATTCGAATTTCAGAAATGAAGCAGGGATGCCAACGGGCCTAGCTCAGTTGGTACACCCCCCCTGGACTGTTGAAATACAGACCCTATCTAGTTCGAATCCAGATACGATCAGATGCACAGAACAAAAAAATAATTCTGAATTACCTGGGGCCGGTCAGTTCAATGATCATATCTCAAGGCCGTCGCCCTTTCTGGAAAAGAAGAAAAAAAAAATCAAGAAGGGATCCGGCTGGGAATGGGAAAAACACGAATTTCATTTATTAAAAAAAAAAACGAAATTGAAAACTATGAATGACTTGAATCTTAATTGCTGCCAATAAATTGTGGTAAGCTGGGAATTCTTCTTCCCACCCCCTCAAAGACGGGCCTTGCTGTCTTTTTTTTTTTTTTTCAATTTTTTTGTTTACATTCCTGAGATCATCTGGCTTTTTTTTTTTTCCCTCCCCTCCCCGTGCACACACACAGGTGCGGAGGAGTCATAGAAAACTACGCAATGGGAGAAGTACTGCAACGGCCGACAAGGGAATCCAAAGGCGAGGATCATCGTCCAGGTGGAAGCCTCGTTGGGAAAGCCTCGTCCGGAGAGCCGGGGAACGGCGCACAGGCGATTCTGAGCGTTTGCGAAGATGAACTTGCACGGTGCGGCACTGCAGAGTTGACATCAACAGCTGTGCCCGCACTATTGCTACCTCCCCCGCCGGGGAAACACACGGATGAGCGTGCAGCGAGCCTTCCTCCGCTTCAACCATTTGCCAGTCTCTTCCACAGGTATGCTGAAAAAGGGGTAGCCCCCCCTAACATTATGCTGCCATTGCTGGGTGATTTTTTTATGGCCGATGGCCATCTTTTATTTTTCTATTCTTAATATATTGTGACTTTTTTTTTATTTCTTCGAAAAGTGGTAGCCCGGAACATTTTGTTGGATCATTTTGATTGTAATAGGATAAGAACTGCTGTGATCTGTTGAGCAACATGTGTGTATGCTGCAAGACAGGTGTTCTGCTGCCCGAACTACGGAATGCGAAGCAGGTGACTGCCCCCCCCCCCCCCCCCCCCCCCCCCCCCCMMCCCCCCCCSCCCCCTTTTTTTTTTTTTTTTGGGTCCGGACATGTTTGACTCCCTGACACGAGTCCGGGCTGTCCGGGTCCGGGGATGCCCGGGTGTGAGGTGATGTCCGGATCACCGGACAGTCAGGACCGGTCCGGACACTAGGCCGGAAGTGTCCGGTGTCCGGGTCCGCGGTTATGATGGATATAATGAGATTGTTAATATAAAGTCCTGTGTTAGTCCCCCGGGCGGCCCGGCTGGGGGAAGGTCGCCCGGGTACGCTCCTGGACGGCCCGGGCCCGGCAGGGTCCTGGGCGATCCCAGCACATAACATTTCAAAAAAAAAAAAAAAAAAAGTCAAAAAAATCCGAAAAAAACTTGTGTAAAATTGCAATACAAACGACTTTTGGCTGAGGGACACCTCAAAATTCCTTGTTAGTTTTTAAGATAAAAAATAAATGAGAAAACATGAGTCCAAAATGTACCCTTTTAAGTTTTAACCCTTTCAGTCACTGTTTATACCCCCCAAAACCCCCCTGGATGACGCATCACCAAAACCGAAGTTAAGACCAGATTCTGACTGCTTAGGCCAAGCTTAATCCTGGCCTGAAGTCTTTTTTTTTGGGGGGGGAGATCCTTGCCTCTTTTTTGACCCGTCTGGTTTTGCCGGGTGACCCCCCCTCTGCCCAACTGGCCCGGGCATGCCTGGCCGGGCAACGACCCAACATAGATAAAGTCCGATTCTTAAAACGAAAAAAAGAAAAAGTTATGGATATAATGTAAGTAGCAGCAGAAAAAGAGGCCAAGCAAATGTAACATTTCTTTGTGGCCAGGTACTACACTTTGACCGCACCTGCTGTGACTCAACGGCTGCTGTTTGGCTTATTGAATGCTCCAACTTCATGGGTACCGGACTCGTTGGACGCGGTGGTGCAGCTCATCGAAATTCTTGAAGGAGAAGATGGTTATACCTCATCTGGGAAGGTGGGCCTGTTCCTTTTTCTTTTTTTTTGGTAGGCCTGCTCTTTATTATCTTGGCAGCTTTCATCCTCCCCCAACTTACCTGCCCCCCGTTCCCCCCCCACCCTCCCCTCATTTCTCCTCCCTCCTCTCAGTCTCCTTCTCCCTGGTTTTCTCCCCCCCCCTCTGCCCCCCTTTCTTCTCCCCTTTTGCCTCTCTTTCTCCTCCTCCCATTTTTCTAAAGCGGGGTTTGAACCCTCGACTTGTGGCATGACAGACCCTCCCTCTGTTGTTTTCTTTTCACTGTTGTTTTCCTAGAATTTGCAGGGCTAGGACATTTCAGTGCAGGCTGTCAATTTTTAAAATTTTGTTTTCCCTTTTCTTTTTGAAGTAACAAGTCAAAACGCGCAGTCAACCCGCGAACGCACAACGATATCATGAAGATAGTATCTCTGCCCTTTTTGGGGGGGGCATAGACAGGTATAGAGAGCATGCGAGATCATTTCTCTCTCTCTCTATCATATATATATTTCTCTCTTTCACTCTCTCATCTCTCTCTCTCTCTCTCTATCATATATATATTTCTCTCTCTC